TGTTTGATGCTTTAAATGATAATATATTCAGAAAATATGAGGTGAAATGGGAACAAAAGTTCGAACATAATTTGAGCTTATTCAAGTTTCAAACTGGGTTTCAGTCTAATGAACTTACTTGAACAAGACTTGAGCCTAGACAAAGTTTCAAGCTGAATATGAGCATATATTGAATATTTAATTGAGCCAACTTCAAAGTTATAAATGCTCAACTCAGATAGTAGTTTAGATTATCATAAACCAAGATGAGATTTTTAACATGTACCCATAATAAATACATTTCTTTTGTCGAGTCCATGGCAAAATGTTCAAAAAAAAAAAACATTTCTTTTGTTATAAATTAATATTTAATTATATTGTTTTATACATTTATTATAAAAATATATCATTAACTTTCTTCAAAAAAAAATATATCATTAACTTGTGTTCTTAATATATAAATTAAAAAAATCTTTTAAGATATGTCAATAAAAACCTAAATAATTTAAGTACTTATAAATAAAAATTTGATTAAATTACTACTTACTATTTTAAAAATCTTGATTTAACGATAATAATGAAAATTCAAACATTGCAGGTTGCAACGATGACTAATTATACATGTCCCAAAGAAAAAAAAAAGTTAAGCACTTCTAAAAGTTCAAACCAATTTGAACCAAATTGAATTTATGCCAGCCCAGAATTAAATTCGGGTCCCTCAAAGCCTACCATTCAGCCCAACATTAAATTAGGCCGCTCAACTGTATCTTAAATTTTTCCTGTCGCAACGGTAAGTGATAGCAGGCTCATAAACAAATCAACAATGATTTTGATTGTTGCCTTTGGCCCATTTAAAAAAAAAAAAAGAAACTGTTAAGATGATAAAGTGGCATTTTTTGGTTCGTTTTAGGTGGCATTTTAGACATACATGGACAAAAACATATAAGTAAAAGTAATTAATTAAGTAATTAATTAAGTAATTAATTAAATTATAAAAGTGGTTTTCTTCCTCATCCCTCCGTATACTCGATCGCAAAAAGTGTAAATAAATATGAAAATTTTATACTTGTTTTTTTTACTTAAAAA